TTTTTGTCTACATTCGGAAATACTATGTCCGTATCGTCGGCAATAATTACACCATTTTTTGAAAGATGGTTTGCCTTTAAAGTTCGGGTTCTTTTCGTAAATATTGAGTATTTCAGTGATTTTTTCAACGAGATCTGTTTCTGATTCTTGTATATTATTAATATTAGTGGGAGTCGTTTCAATTTTGTTAACGTATTGTAATTTCAGATTTTCCGTTTCTTCTAATTTCATTGTGATTTCTGCTTGTTCTAGTTTGTCTACTAGTTTTCTAAAATCTAAATCGGGTTCTCGAATTGAAGAAGGATGTGATGCTCTCTTTTTTATTGCTATTTTCCTTAATTGTGGTGTTAAGGTCATCATTAAGATTTCTGTCATCTTAGTGTTTTTATAGTCATGTGTATTTAGTGAATATGCTTTTCGAACTAGTGTTTCGATTCTTACTGCTATTTGCTTGATGGTTTCGTTTGGTAATCTGCGAATTTCATTACATAAAACTCTTTGTTGTTGTTTGTTTCTTTCGGAGTCAAACATTTTTGAAAATTCTTGTGTAAATCTTTTCCAGTTTGATTTTATTTCTTGAGGTAGTACTGAAAACCATTTTTGGGCTGCGCCATCTAAGGTTGTTTGTATCAACGCTGTGCGTCGATGTATCCAGTTTTGATGTAGTGGCGTGTTAATTGGTTCAGGTCCAATATTTAAAATTAAATTTGCTGTTACTGCATTTAAGTAATCTTCTACAGAGTATTCAGGGTCTGTTCCTGTGAAAACCATTAAGGGTTTATTTGATGTTATTGATGATCCACCCATAAGGTATGGATTCATTGTCATTTGTAATGATTCAGCTGCATTTGGCATTTGAGAAAAATTTGAAAGTTGGTTTCTTGTTATTTCATGTTGTTGAAGATAATACGGGAGTGGTATTTCATTTTGCATTTGTGATGGTTGATACGAGTGTGTAGTCATTGGATTTTGTTGTTGAATTGGTTGAAAAGATTGTATATTAATTGGATTTGGTTGTTGAATTGGTTGTTGATATTGTGCATCTATTGATTGTGGAGAAAAATTTCTATGGTTTGTACGTGTTTTCTGTATTCCTTGTCTACGATATTCTTGAGTATTTGGTGCAAATATATCTGGTTGTAAGAAATCTTCATCTGAGGATAAATAATCCATTTGATAAGATGTTTGTTTTTTATTTTTATTTTGTTGAAAAAATGGGTAATTTTCACTGCGATCCTGTGGAGGATTTGGTTGAAAATTTGTGGAATTATATTGGGCCGTTGGGTTATCCCAGTTTCGAGGTTTTGTATATTGATTAAAATTTCTTTGTGGTTTATAATTTGTTTTTGATGGATGTGTATAATTATAATTATGGTCTGCAAAGTTGTTTCTAGTGAATGTTTTGCGTGTTTTTGATGGTATTGTCATGGGTTTGTATGTTTGGTAATCCATATGTGAATATTTAGGGGCAACCGAAGGTTTAACGGTTGATTGTAAGGTTACCTGTGTTTGTGAAGGATTTGTATTTCTTGGTGTTGTTAAATTTGGGCGTATTGGTGAAATACTTTGTTGTGTAGTTGTTGTGTGTACAATTTCTTCATTTATGAAGTGTGATGGTGTCTGTATATCTTGTTGAGTAAGATTCCTAGTTCCATTGAGGTTTTCATTGTGTATGACTGTAGAGTTTAAACTATTATTTTGTGTATCGGGTAAAAATGTATTATAGTTTAATGGTGTTGCATCAATTGTTAATGGTATTACTCTTACATAATCTCTTATGTAAGATATTGTACCTATTGCTTGACTTGAGATTGATTGTGGAAAGTTTATAAATACGGGATGAGACCATTCGGGGTCCCAAACATAATCTGATTGTTCTGTGATAGCTGTATCATCGTTCGAGTTTTGGGGTCTAAAATTTTTTCTTGCTTGTGCAATTAAATCAATATTGTGTGTAAAATAATCTATTATGAACCATGCTAAAATTTTTTGTAAATCGTGTTTGGTATGTTGTGAAACGTCGTCTTTCGTGAAATTTTCTTTAATGATGTTTAAATAACTAGAGAGTAGTGTGATTTCATGTCGTACTCTTAAATGTTTAGATGTTTCTGTCGGTGAGACATTTGTTAATGGGAGTTCATTTTCTAATATCGAAATATAACTATATATTAGTGCGAAAACTTCATTGGTGAAAATGGAGTTTGCTCTTTGTGAGTTATGGTATTGTATGCTTTTTATATATTCTGAAAAAACTTTTGAAAATTCTAAATCAAGGTCGTCTGTTTGAATAGTGTATGTTCTATTATTATGGTTTGGGGAAGTGAATTCTATAGAGTAGATTCCATATTGTTGTGTTATGTTGCATATATCTTTTAGATAGTGATCTATGATTTGTCTTTTGATTTTTACATCGGGGAACTCTGTTTTACATGGACTGATTCCGGGTTCAAATAAATTTACGAGTAAATTTTGACAAAATATGTGTTGTCCTCTATCAGTATCTGCATCTACTATAAAAGGAAAGATTTCATCATCATCTGGAGTTTCGTCACCTGGGGTGTGCGTTGAACTCATTTTTTCGTTCGATGACTGTTAATATGTAATTATTAATGTGTCGAATTGGTTGATTCCAGTTGTATAGATGTACTGGTTTGTGTTTATACTGCTTTTTTATTCTTCTTTTTCCTCTTTGTGATGAATTTGAAGTTGTTTCTGAGTCAGAAAAATATAATTGATCGTGTTGTGGGTAATTTTTATCTATTGATTCTTTTAGTTTGTAGAGTTCGTCTAAACTGTTGGTTTCTGATTCTGAAAATGCGTTTCGATTTTTTGAAAATCTTTTTCGTGTTATTTGTCTTTGTTTAGTGATTATTTTTCTCTTTAGTGTTTGTCGTTTTGTTCGAATGTATCCAACTGTTTGTGTATGAGGTGTGATTACAAGGTCGTATTTTTTGTTATCTATTTCACAATTGTGTAAAACGATTGTTTGTTTATTCCCTAGGTTTTTAAATGACATAAGGTTTAGGATGACGGGTGCAAAAGGTTGTTAAATGATTTCTATTTTCCTAAACTGTTAGTTCTTACGATTTTTTGGTTAGCTTAACCTGGGTCTATTTGTTTAGGGTTGGAGAGAAAAGTATATCGATTCCGAAGAATGATTTTTACTTTCTCGTGACTAGTATAAGCTAAGGTGTTAACTTACTTAATCTTACTTAGGGGTAGTGATTGTGTTCAAGGGTTGGAGAATAGTAAATCGATCCACAAGGTTCAGGTATAATTAGAACGCGAGTAGTTCGTTAGATACTATTTTAAACTTACTAAGTCTAAGATTTATCCTGGGTCTGGTAAGAGGGGGGATCAAGTGAAGGATGAATAACCGAAGTTCTTCACTGTTTATCCTAATTTGAATGATTAGTTTTGTTTAAAAATTTCTATTAGTCTTGGGTCTTTAGAAAGGGTTGGGTAGTGAATCGACGTTTGAGGTCGTTAGACACTAATTAAGTGGGTGGGGGAGAACAAAGTTGTTCTGTTTGATCCAAGGATAAGCCTTGATGATCAAATTTAAAATGTAATGAAGTAGAAAATGATTTAAGATCCAAGGATAAGCCTTGATGATCTGGTTTTAAAATTAAGTGACTTTAAGTTTTAATGAGGTTTTAAATTTGTGTAAAGGAAAGATTTAGTATTTTATGATATTAGTGAGTTGATGATTGCTGTTATGTTTTAGGTGATGAAGCTGGAACAACAGGATGATTTATGATTACTAACCATTTATTGTCATGCTACTAATTTTTATTTTTATTTTCCAATAAATATTTTTCAAACATGTTTTGTATAATACTGCAGAATTTTAGGAAAACGATCTTAGATCTTTTTATCAATCGTTATTGTATAATATCAATTTTGTTTAGCGCCTGAAATGATTTTGAAGATTTACTTCAAGGTTTTATGTTTGCAAATGGAAATCTAAATTCATTGCAAGTAGTATTCGAAATATAAAAGTTTGTTCTGGCTTTTGCCGAACTATCATGTAACTATACGGCAAGTTTCTACTTTGTCGTATGTCGTCTTTGGTTCGATGTCTTCTTCCAATTCCGGGTAGTTCTATTATGGTTCGGAATATTGGCTCGGATCTATTGAGTCGGAGAGACATTTCAATTAAATTATTGTCGTATAACATTTTGTAAATGTTTTTGTCTAATTTCTAATCTAATTTTGGTTAATTCTAATCTAATAAGGTCTTGTTCGAGACTTATGGTCGCACCAGATGAGTTAGGACTGGTATGTAACTCATAGAGTAATTTCGGATAGGGTACACCGTCTGCTCGTCACGCTATCTTATTTTCGGCCGGATAGATTCGTGCAACTTCTTAGTCTAATACCGATCCTAATCTTACTCTTATACTATCTAGTCTCAGGTTGTTTAACTAGTCTCTGCTAGGCTCAATAGATCTAGGGTATACTGGTTTATTGCGGCTGCTGAAGTGCTCGGGAGAGTCCAACTAATTTCTAAGTTAAATTCAAATCTCTCTGGTGCTGAAATTACAAGTAACTTCAGCACTTACAAATAAGTGGGTTGTTAGTTAGATGGATCATGATTGGTTAATATTAAATACTTTACATTGGTAAAACATTTAATTTATCCAATCATAAAATATAGTTTAGATCAGGTTCCAATATACAATAAGAAGGACCAAGTTAACATTCTTCGAACCCAGACCCCCCCCCCCCCCCAACCCAAGCCATTTAGGGAGGAGGAGGATGTTGACTTGGTTTTGATTTGAGTTCAAATTTAAAGCCAAATCAGAGTAGACAATTTTACACGCAGCGCTTAGAAAACTTAATTCAAATTGAACGCTGGGGTGGTGGATCCTAACTTGGTCTCATCTTTGGGAGGGGGGGGGGGATGTTGACTCGAGCCAATAAGAAAGAGCCAATAACTAGAGTCAAATAACTTCAAAAAAGGTAGATCGAATGGCCCTTTCCCCATTAATACTCACGTCCACAATTTCAGTGGGCGAATGCGCCACTGCTTTTTTATTGCCCTAAAATGAAGAAAATCAATTCCCAAAGACCCGACAATGCTTTTGGTTTATGTGTCATATTGATGAAAATCTATCAACTTCTTACTGAAATACAAAGGATGCCTCGCAGTTGCTGGCTGCTACGAACTTTTGAGTGCGTGAAATTTGATATAAATGTCCATAGAGAAATTTATGAAAGAGCAAAAATTTTTCAGACAAAATAGAGCGAGCTTCAAATCTGAACATTACTTGAAAATAAGTAAAATTGTAATTAAACTTGAAAATAAATGACAGAATGTGAACTTACAGTGAATACCGCCTGTGAGTTTACCATCTGTGCCGCCAGGTCTGGAGGTGCTATTTGATGAAGCAGCCAGATGTACGCTTCTGAATCCTGAAAACAATCAGTACATTAATTATTGTTGAACTATTTGGTCGAGTTTTCAACGAGGCTTCTAATGCAAATGCGGAAAAAATTAATTCTTGATCCAAGATTTGCCAACATCTGTCGAAAATTCAGAGTTATTACTTTGAGAGTATAACTGCAGTATTGAAAATTGATCATCATTTTTTTAACCAAAATTGAAACAAAAAAACTATTCAGTCGAACATGTCGATTGTTGACTACATGCTTATCGAGCAAAATCCGATGTTTTAACATTATATGGTTTCCTGCTCATCAACTCTTTTAAATGACAGAGGCGAAGCGAAGCTACGCGCTGTTTTCGATATAACACATCAACGACGGAAAATGAAACAAAAGCCGAATGAGTAAAAAAAAGTTGGGAAAATTATCCATAAGAAATAGATCCACTAAAAAAGGTTTCAGCCGACCAAAAAACGTCTGCATGAAAAACTTAGAGCTAAGCAACATTTTAAAACTTTTTCGCCCGTCAAATATGAGGCAACAAAGCCAATTTAATTTAAATTAAAATGTTTCACGAGCAACTTGAAAGAAGTGGACAAACTTTAATATCATCGCTGAAGTTCCTGATGCGTTTGAACACTCCTGCATTACTCAAGTGAAAGTTGACCCATCTGAGCAGCAGTTCTTCCGGGGACAGAGACTGCAGATCATGCATGGTCTCCCCGTCTTCCAGCAGACAAGCCAGACCAGGACACTCGTTCAGGTTTATCTTACTTGTCAGACCAATCTGAGAAACAGAAAAGGAACAAAAACTCACAACCAAAGACAATTGAAATATATTGTGAAGTAATCTTTAAGCTGACAAATTTAGTCAATTGAATGAATTACACTTAGAAGCTTCTCTGAATCTTTGTCGATCTTTTGACATTTTCAATCTTCTGATGGGGTTTGATTCATTTGAAGTAACAGCAATTTTTCTTTTTAAGATTGCAGCCAATTAAAAACAAATTGCAGCCAATTCAATAAAATTCTCTATAGAAAAACTCGTTTTGGATTAAAAACTTTTTTTTGGCAGTTCACAAGCAATAATACATTAGAAGCTGCCGTGGGCTACCTTGATGATTTGCCAGAGTATTCCCAGCACGAGATGTGGGGTTCCGGCTACCATGTCTGCAGCTCCCATGTTGACGATGCAGCATCCTATGGAGGAGGCAGAGTTGAGAGCCAGTTCGTGATTCTCCCTCATCTGCCACTCGTTCTTCGGACTCTTGTGCATCACTCGCTCGTCTATCGTGTCTGGCGCATTCTTGTTGATCACTTTTCTGAACAATCAATTCAAACTTCACAAATTTCACTTAAACTGCACTGCTTACCTATCTAATGTAAATACTCTATACCACTCTTTACTGCCCAGTCGGTGTAACACTGCCAGTCGGCGAAATTATGTCTTTGATCTACCAAACATCAGTAAACAGTCGTTTATTGGGACTATTTCAGAAACCCCTCTCTTCTGGTACCTGGCGTGTACTATGCCTTTGTTCGATGTGTCGCGAAATCAACTTAACTACGAGTGCCCTTTTGTTTCGGGGCTAACCACCACCTCGGTTATTGTACTGTAAATTCATTATAATAATAATATCAAATTAGCTAATGCCAATTAAGACCCAAAATCGGCCCCATATTCCTTGACACACAAGCGAAGCTGAGCTTCGCGCCACTTGTGACACATACAAAAAGTATAAGATGAAAATAGAGCATATCGCTCAGGAACTAGCAAAAAGTATTTCGAACTAAGTTACTATTGAACAAGGAACTACAAAAACAAAAAAAATTTCTCATGTTTAAATGTATGTCATAACCATAAGCAAAAAATCGAATTCTACAATATTCGTTAGAATTCTAGATATAACATTTATATGTATAAGATAAAAATAGAAGCCAATAATTCAATTTGAAATTTCGGTGAATTCCCATAGATCCCAATATTCATAGCACCCAAAATAAAAAATCTGTCGCATAAGTCCCAAATTTTATCTTCTAGATTTCTGATTGGTTGAAATTTTAGCCAACAAGTTTATGGATTGATTGTTTACTGTTCAACCAGCATAAACTCAAGCTGTAGAAAAGTGACCGCCGTAGCCGCCCGAACGTGTTGCGAGCTAGCCACCAAAGGGTAGGACTCTATACGAGATTTAGAGCCGGTTAAGCCGCGAAGCGCGCCCACCGGCGACCTTAAACCGAGACTCGGCTAATTTTGTCTTTTGACCAACTGAAAAGATTTGGGACTTATACGACTGCTATTTTGTTTTGGGACCTGTGGGACAGATTTTTCATTTTGGAACCTACGAATACGCAGCGGAATTTCAGCTGGACAACTGATTAAAGAGACTAGGGGCCCAGCTGAAAGCTGGAGAGACCTGTTTGATTATTTTAATATTGATCATTTTAAAATTGTCTTTACAAATCTATTCATGACCATCAATGATTAACATAACGTAAATAATTTAAAAATCATGGAAACATTGAAATCTTCCTTCGAAGATTGAAATCACTCAGGATTCGGCGAGGAACGTACCTGATGTAGAGAAAAACAACAAACTGAACATGTCTTTACAAATCTATTAATGACCATCATTGATTAACATAACGTAAATATTTTAAAAATCATGGAAACATTGAAATCTTCCTTCGAAGATTGAGATCACTCATGATTCGGTGAGGAATGTACCTGATGTAGAGAAAAACAACAAACTGAATATGTCTTTACAAATCTATTGTTGCAAAAAAGAGTAAACGTTCTGGAACAAACCGACCTCATGAAAGAGAACTAGCGTAACTCGTGCAACTTCTCGTTGGACTTCTTCGAACCATACAAAAAAAACTCAACACAAAGCCAATAGCACCAAGCAAAAGCGAGAAAACGTAAGCATAGCGGATTCCATTGTCTAAAAAATACACACAATAAGTATATTGAATCTTTGTTCCAATGCCAAAAAGATTTTAAAAAAACTTTTCCTAAGTGTACAGCTCTTCCCCGAGACAAATTAAGGACCAACCGCTTGGGCAGGGGAGTTTCCTACAACCTGGTCTATCGATTAAACCCTTAATCCCAAATCTGGATGGGTAGTTTTTGAAGAAATCGAAAAAGTTTGAAAAAATGGCCTAAAAACCGAAAAATTGACTATTCCTAAGTGTATAGCTCTTCCCCTAGACAAATTAGGGACGAGCCGTTTGTGTAGGGGGGGGGGTTCCTACAACCTGGTCTATCGATTAAACCCTTAATCCGAAATCTGGACGGGTAGTTTTTGAGGAAATCGGAAAGATTTGAAAAAAGGCCAAAAAAGTCAAAAAAGTGACTTTTCCTAAGTCTATAGCTCTTCCCCTAGGCAAGTTAAGGACCAGCCGCTTGTGCGGGGGAATTTCCTACAACCTGGTCTATCGATTAAACCCTTAATTCCAAATCTGGATGGGTAGTTTTTGAGGAAATCGATAATTTCCGAAAAAATAGGCAAAAAAATCAAAAAAGTGACTTTTCCTAAGTCTATAGCTCTTCCCCTAAGCAAATTAGGGACCAGCCGCTTGTGCATGGGGGTTTCCTACAACCTGGTCTATCGATTAAACCCTTAATCCCAAATCTGGACGGGTAGTTTTTGAGGAAATCGAAAATTTCCGAAAAAATGGGCAAAAAGTGAAAAAAGTACCGAGTTGTGAAGCTTTTCTAAGACCGTAGGGGGCGGGGTAGGGTAAAAATTGCCCTAAATTTCATGCAAGCAGGTAGGTGAAACGCTACTGAATCTATTGGTACCACTTTTATGAGAATCTGACGGGTAGTTTTTTGGGAAAGCGAATTTTTCGAAAAAGCCTCTCAAAAAAAAAAAAAAAAAAAAAAAAAAAACCAGATCTCATCTGGAAAAAAAAAAACGTTTTCATAATACCTGTTTAATACATCAAACAGGAATTTTGTAAAACAAGTTACCATGACAAAACTAAATTCCGATTGGATAACGCTTCCCGACGTATTATAGGGCGTAGTTGACATTCGTGGCCAGTCAATAAGCAGAATGGGTCCAAGATCAGAGCAACTTAAGCCAAAAATACCAACGAACATTTTATGCATAATTTGAGTATTTTAATCAAGAATTTTTTTTAAATAATAAAAAACTTAGTCCATTCATGCATAATTTATAGGCTTTCTTGGTATTTTTTGACGATTCTAATAATTGTTTTATCAATTAGCCCGTATAAACCAATATAGGTCAATATTTTTCTGTTTTGCTGCTCTTGGACCCATTCTGCACTTGGACCATTCTGCTTATTGCTCCGCCTCCGTTGACATTATATCACGCTGTAATCCAATCTCAAGCACGCGTGCTCTAGCAAGCGAATAACTTGATTATAGAAACCAGAAAACTAAAAAAAAACATCAGATTGTTGTTCTGAAAGAAATTAATTAAAATTTCAGAAAACAATTTTTCTTTTTACTTTTTGATTTTTTTTCTAATAATTAGTGTTGAATGAATCTGTTTTGCATTTTCAATTACAACTTCAAATTTACTTGATGTGAACTATCTCGTGAGCAAGTTATACACAGAGGCGAAGCTGAGCTTCGCACCCTTTGCGCAACAAAAAAAAAGAAAGCTGCTAAGTCGGAAAAAAATCAAAAACGTTGAAAAAACTAGATTTATCAAGATGAATAAGGCTAGTTTTGAAAAAAAAATGCCATACAATAAAATGTGAAATTAACATCGGAACAAAAAAACAAAAGAAGCAGTAACAAAGCCAAAAATACCTAGGCAGAAACCTTCGAGGACGAAAAAAATCAACAAGACTTAAGACTTGTGAAAAGTTATTAAGTCCCCTTCGCGCCCTCACAACACACACATTCATTAAATTTTTTTGCTCGTCATGTGAACTTGAGGCCACTAAGCCGATATAATATAGGTCGAAACCTATTACGCCGGAAAAAGAAAATAAAAAAAAGCCGAAAAATTCTAATAAAAAAGCCCCTCAAAACACACACGGACATAGTTTTTTTCACTCGTCAGAAGACGCAATATGACACAATAAGCCGATTTAATATCAGTCGAAACCTATCAACGGAAAAAAAGGAAAGGAAAAAAAACAAACAGAAATTGTTGTCATGAAAAACTATAATTTCTGTTAAGTTATTTCAAGACTTGTGCAATCTAGAAGAGCGCATAGAAATTACGTTTTGAAACAACTCAAAAATAGGACACTTACCCGATAAATTATTAACCTAAACCATTTGGGCAGAATAGTTTTTTAGAAGCGATTGAAAAAATATTACAAACAGCAGAAAAAATCAACTACACTAAAAACAAACAACTACAATATAACTTGCGTACAACAAAAAAAAAACAATTCTACGATGTGGCAGATAAGCCGACAAAACTTAAGCAGACAAAATTTTTCAAATGGAATATTCGCCGTTTGAAAACAAAACCGGTGGTATTTGTAACTTCCAGACCAAGAGCGCCAAAGAAATTTGAATTTATTATGAACTGAATCTAAACATACCATTTCTGATTTTGGCCATTCTGTGAACAAAGTTATTAACGGAAAAAATCTATACTCGATTGGAATACCCTTTCCCATCGCAAGGGTATAAATTTTAATTTCGAGGCGCTTTCATTTATTATTTGAATAACGTCTAATCAGGTTTACTTCAAACTTTGGCTATATGATTTCATTATTCAACTGAATGTGATCAGGCATTAAAAAGTGCCTGTAAAAAACTGCCCGGGGCTTCATACGTTTAAAAAACGTTCAAAGTACTTCAAGAGTAGACACGATACAGGAAATGACAGAAACAATCAGATCTAGTAAATTAAAACAAAAATTGCTTATTGTGCAAGAAAAATCCGGCATGAGGCACCTAAGCCGACATGCAATCCAAAAAGAAAAAACAAGTTGGTGAAAATTGTTCGGATCATGAAAAAACCATGCTGTGGCAGCTGCTCCGACGGAAAATGAGCAGATAAACGATGAGTCGATTTTTAATTTTTCAAGCCAAAAATTTTGACTTAGCAAAGCATCCTGCTCAGATTCAAACCCTGAACATTTGTCGTGCTACTCATGTATGTTACCTCTCCGCCAAATGTGCAGACTAAGATGCTGAATTTGAATTTATACACAGAGGCAAAGCTTCGCTTACCAAACACTAGCAAACATATGACAAAAAGAAGCTCTATAAAGCGCAATAAGAAAAATTAGAAAAAACCTCGAACTAGTAGAAACTCGACTACATCTCGGGTTCCAACCTGTGACCTAGAGATTATGAGTCTCAGAAACTAACCACTAAGCCACGGACGCTTAATTCGAACCTAACACTAGCCGCCCATTAATCAAACAACAGATGGATGCTATGCAATTTCCAACGCTACAGTGAAACTTCCAAATAAGTTAAAACTTTAATTTGCGAGTTAGGCTAGTAAAAAAAGGTTCGTAATAATACACTATCGTAAATCAAGCTATCAAATGATTCAAAGTAGAAAAGCCCTAGGGACGGATTTAGGGGGGGGGCGCCTTTCTCTCAGGGATTCGACCCCCTCACCAACCAAAGGGTCACCAATTGATATTATTTTATGACATCCATAGTAGGCCGAACAACCCTAAAATTTTTCTTAAGACGCCTTGGGCGCCACTATGTAAAACTTTAAAGTGGAGCAGCGCTCCAAAAACACGCAACTTTTAGGTCAAAATGAAGGACGACTAAAAAAAGGTCGACACAAAAAAGGTCGACAAGTTTTAGAAAATCCGCCACCCTTGAGAAAATCCTAGATCCGCCCCTGACAAGTCTTTAAAATAAAAACAACATCTATCTTTCGATTTGAAATAACTTGCAAATCGCCAAGCGTAAAAACTCACATTAGAATAATTCCGTCGTGAACCCGTTGAAACAGCTGTTCAGATGATGCATCAATTGGTAAATATTTGGGCTGTGATAAAATTGGGTCGTCTTTGAAGCTCTGATTGATCCACTCTGCGAACGCTCGCTTCTCGGGCTCAGCATAACTGTGCACTGCTCCATCTTTGCCCTGGTTTTGGACTAATTGTGATTTTTTCTCTAATGCTTGACTCAATTTTCTTGTCTTGTCTTTGCCAGTTTCCATTTGATGTTTGGCAAATAACTTAAACAAACTATGCATGAAAATATTTCTCTTCTTAAAACTATGAATACAATAGTTAATTTTTGGCTTACCGTCAAAAACTCTTCCATTTCAATTGTGCCATTTTTATTTTTGTCTAATGCCTGGATGTACTCCCGACACTTATAGGCCGGAATATCCTCTCCTAATGACTTGAAAAGTTCTCTGACTTCAGTACTAGTGACAGAACCATTTCCATCAGTATCGAGCTAAAACATTTTCATGTTTTTAAACACAGCCAACTGAAAGTTGGAAATAAACGCAAAAAAAATTTCGAATATATATAAAGATGGCCTTAAAGCTCTTTGAATTTCTAGAACAATTTATGATTAACACTTTTTTGATAAAATTAACTCAATTTGATAAAACTAGATCAATAATTAACTTTTTTTTATTTCGCTGGGAAATCTTAATATTAAATTTCACTTTCGAAACAAGAAATCGAACACGTTTTTTGCTGCCTTTACACTTTTGCAGTTCGATAGTGGAGTTTGCCTTATTCTTAACAAAAGGAATTAACTCAACTAAAAAAGAAATCAAAAATCAAACCGCGAAAAAGTAAATTGACCCCGAACATATTATAACTTATCCTGAAATACACAGAGGCAAAGCCACACAAGCGAGGAAAATGCAAAAAAGCTCTTAACAGAAAAAAAACAAAGTGGAGTTTGCCTTATTCTTAAAAGGAAAATAAAAAAACAATTTAGTGAGACTAGGAGTATCACGTTCTCACATCTGCTCCACGGCCGCTTGTAATCTTACTAACACTAACCGGTAAAAAAGCAGCTACAGTTTCTATCAAACTGCAATGCTATGCAGCAACAATTCGACCAAAAAAAAACTATTTCAATGTTCCGGATTTAAATCTCCGGCCTGTTAATTAGCAGTTTCACAACCTCTCATCTGCGCCACGCTTGCTTGGAAGTAAACTAGTGGCCCAGCTAATGAGTATACACATTTTTTAATATTTTCATCAAATTTTGCACTGATACGGAAATGCTCTCTACTACGGATACAGGTCTCTACTAAACCCCGGAAAAATGCTTTCATGGCGGGAAGACATCCACGCCCTGATTTTTGGATTGAACTCTTATTATCAGACTTAGCTAGTAGTGTTCAAGAAAAGTGATAAAATTTCCAAAAGAAACTAAGTTTCAAATGGAATTTTCCGAATTTTCCACCATATCAGATGTTCTACAAAAAATAGGATAAAATAAATTGCGCAATAAAAATCTAGGCATCATGTTAGTTTGAGTGATTTATCAACCTTAGAATCAGCAGGTTGGTTTTAGAACAAGAAAGAACAGGCAAAAAATCAAAAATGGGAAATTTTCTAGGACCATATTTTTTTCAAAACGCAGGGCATAGCCGCTTACACCGGCAATAATCGCATAACTGATTGTTTTTCTTTCGGTTAAACTCTTAGTCTCCGATTTAACAGTAGTTTTTGAGAAAAATTTTAAAAATTAACAAAATGTCAAAAAATGGGCTTGTTTGATGCTATAACTTTTTTTCTACTAAATTAACCATCGTCTCAGATTTGTGCACTTGATGTTTGAAAAAATAGATCAAGAATCCTCCTACTGAAACTTTCGAAGGCCGTAGAATGTGGCGTAAAATGAAAAGAGACTAGCGAAATATGTAGGAACAAAGAAAGGCAGCCGATTTTTCAATTGGTACCTTTTTTGAAAATTTTGAAAAATAGTAGTAGTTATTGAGAAAAAAATTTCTGCGAAAAGTACCGAAATTTTCCAAAGCGTTGCAAAAAAAGCAACAAAAACAACAAAATCTATACATTTTCATTTATCTGCTTTTTTTTTAAAACAGGACCTAACACTAGCCAAAAATAAAACAGCAACACATGCTGGTGCTTAATCAGTCCTAAACATGATTAAATTGAATTATACCAAAAGTGCCACCAGATGAGCACATTTATTTGCGACTTAAGTTAGAAAAATAAATTCATAATAATAAAACACTTGTAAAAAAATATACGGATCACCATTAAGAAACCATGAACTACGATATCCTACGTAACTCTTTTCTATGAACGACAATCAAAATAAACAGGGACACGAAACAGGGCCTTCTTGAACCTTATTAATTTTTTTTAAATCTGATGTTATTGTTCCGAACATTTGAAAAACGCGGAGGAACATTCTATTCAAGTGTTTCAGTGTTTTTCTTTTTGTTTTCCATGCAAAATCAGGTATCACAAATATTCATTGGAATAAGTCAAGTAATATATCATATAAAAACCGTTTCAGTCGTGATTCGAATGACGTCAGTAAATTTCAAAAACATTTTCTCAGAGTCGAGAAAAAACGGTTTAAAATTTTTGGTCCAACTTCTAGCTAATAAGGTCAGCGTGCAGTCTTACAACCCTATTCAAGCCATGAAAACTTAGTTTCACTTAAGCAAAATAGTTGTTGGGTTTTAGCGCCATTTTGAGAATCAAAACAAAAAAAATTCTGCAAAAAATTTGTGAAATTAAAAAAAATTAACAATTTTTTCTAGTTTTTTTTTCTACAAGGGTTTACCAATCGTCTTCTTCGACTATGACTGTCGAATATGACTAAAATTTATTTTTTCGTTCAGATCTTTTTACACCGCACAGAAAAAAACGACACCAATTGGAAAAAAAAGTATTCTTGTTAAGACTATGGTCGGGACATTCTGTGCTATTGGCACATTAACTGGCTATCATTGTGTTATTTTGCCAATGTATGATTAATGTTACTAACAAGAAAAAATGGGCTCACAAAGATCTTTAAAAATTTTGGCTAATTGGTGGGTACTAGTTTACTTGTCCCGTGAAGAAACTAATTTATATGATTGGCCCGTCTATTTCTTAAGAACAAAAGCCAGCATCGGTTTCCAACCTGCGCCTTGAAATTGGTAGCCGCATTCGTTCCCACTAGAGTAACTAAATTTCATTTCTTTTTAAAATTAGTTCCCACCAGAGTAACTAAGTTTCATTTCTTTTTAAAATAGATTCTAACTGCTACCTGTGAGAATGAAACATACTGTACACATTCTCTCGCAAAATGTTTTTTATTAGAGACCACAGCGTTTTTGAGGGCCATAACAAGAAACCAGTACCAATTGGTGATATATTTTAGTATTTCGTAGTATTTGATATTCGCAGGTTGATCATGAAGTTACAAGGTATTTCGCCGCTTAATCTCGTTTTTTTTCACATCTGAAGCTATTGTTTCCAAATAAAATGATTTTTTTTATCTCAACTTTACACAAAGAGTAGCCCGGCTTCTGACCACGATTACTCAAATTTGCTTTTTTTTCAAATGTGTGCCGTATTTTGTTTGCTGTGATGAAAAGAGATTTCAAAAACTTAGAACCATAGTAAATCGACTACAGTTGTCCACAAAATAAAAAACCACCCAAAAAATTTAAAACGTACAAAATTTTTGAATTATTTAAAAACTTTCTATTGCCAAGGAAGCGCTAACTGAAGCTGCAAAAACTTTCTTTACTGGAGTTAAACTAAATTTTATCAGCTGGATTAAAAGCATTTCTTATTATAATACCAAGTTTCCCGCTTTACTCGCACGAAACTTGACTAAAAGTAAAAACTTCACACAGGTTTTTCTCAACGCAAGTTTTTAAATATAATTCGAACCACGAGTGTGGATCGAGTGCTTAAATATCACTCGACCCACTCTGACAATTGTCTGTGCTACCTATTTTTGAGACAAACAAACATTAAAACACACCCGAAGACAAAGTTCCTCCCAATTTCAGTGGCCGGAACAAAAAATATACTCATTAGCAACTGAAAACAAAACATAGCCAACTAACAGTTGGAAGAGTAAAGAACGCATGGAAACTAAAAAAAAAACATTTGTTTTTTCAAAAACTTTGAAGTTTTGAATTTCGAAGCTTTTTGAATTTGAGCTCTTTGAATTTTATGATAGACAGTTTTTAAAATTAACCCAATTTGAGAAAACTGGATCAATAGGTAAAACTTTTATTTCGCTGAGAAATCTAATAACTAATTTCCATTTTCGAAATTAGAAATCGATCACGTTTTTCGTGACCTTCATAATTTTGCTGTTCGATAGAGGAGGTTGCCTTCCTTTTAACAATAGAAATGCACTGAACTTGAACAGAAATCACAAGTCAAACCGCGAAAATCAAAATTGAGCGTGAACAAATTCTATGACTTTTTCTGAGAAAAAATTTAAAAAATCAGCAAGGCCTATACAAGACTATGCAAAACCAAATCGGAGTGATGGTTCGAACTCCAAACCTATAGAAAGAAGGCTTAAGCAATGGCATAAGGGCGAACTGGACGAAATTTTTAACGAGGGAAAAGCGCTGCAAATGCGCTTGGCAAAGAGTAAGAAAAAGAAAGTAGAAACTGAAGCACAGCAATTTAATAAAATAATGAGCACCGGAAAAATATCGAGTGCTATTGCTAAATTAACTGATACCTCCAAGGGACTTCTCTAGGTCAAACTGTTGAGCAAATCCTCATCGAGAAACACCCTTTCCCGGAGCCAGTAAACAGCAACTATATAACATCATGCTCCGAAGATACAATCCCTTTCCACTCATCCACATTCGACCAAATAAACGCTCAGAAAATTAGCATGGCTGCCATGACAACACATGGTTCTCATGGACCCTCAGGTCTGAATGCAAATGAGTGGAGACGCACTCTAACGCACTTTGGTCTACAGTCAGTTGAAATATCAAAGACACTAGCCAAAATCGCACAGAAAATATCGACAGAAATACTATAAGTCATGAGCTTCTTGAACCATATAATGCCTGTCGACTGATTCCTTTTGAAAAAAACCCAGGAATTAGCCCAATTGGCATAGGCGAAGTCATCCGCAGAATAATAGGTAGAAATATCACAAAACGCTTAAATAGCGAATTTATGGTACTCGGATGGAATTACCAACTATGCCTTGGCCAAAAATGTGGCATGGAATATACAATTCATACGCTTAGGAAGCAATACGAGAAAACATACTCCGATGCAATATTACTGATAGACGCGGAAAATGCATTTAACTCGGAACTAGGCAAATATATGCCCTTCTATACAGAACTCATACTCTAATCCATCCAAACTCTTCGTAAATACAAAAGTTATCCTATCTAGAGAAGGAACCACACAAGGAGACCCATTAGCAATGGCAATGTACGGGCTAGCACTTTACCCTTAATAAAACTAGTCAACAATAACAGAAATGGTATGCAGACGATGGGAACGCAGTCGGAAATTTGAAAAGCCTGCGAAGAGTTCTTAAAACATTTTCAAACACGGAAAATATTTTGGATATCATGTAAAGGCATCGAAATGACAGCTCATTGTAAAAGATGAAAAATTTAATAAAGCGTTAAAAATATTTCAAAATACCGAAATTGAAATGAAGAAAGGGGCCAGAGTACTTAGTTCTGTCATAGGATCCGAGACTGAATGTAGAACTTTCTTAGAAACTAAGTTAGAACCTAATAAAACACTGCAAAAACTTGGCAAGATCGCGAAAACATCACGACAAAACGTGTAGTCCTGTTACACCAAAGGGGTACAAGCAAAAATATCGTTTTTTAGCTAGAACTACCCCCAATAACACAGAGAACATGCAGTAATGCGAGAAGATACTGCAAAAAATGTCATTCCAAATTTAATTGGTAAAGATTATATCAGACATCAATTTAGAAACTTCGCTTCTTTGCCACTGAAAATGGGTGGTCTAAATATCAAGCTACCTTCTGACTATGAGAATTTTCTAGAATGGTCAAATAAAACATCGTCAGTCCTAGACACATGCGACCCATTAACAGCTATATCTGAGCAAGAAAAAACCTATACAAAAATTAAAACACTTAAAGGCGAAAGAACAAACCAAAAGAGAACTAAAATTTTGAACAACTTGAGTGACAATGGAAAATAAGCACTTGAGCTGGCCTCCGACAAAAGAGCCTCAAACTGGTTAAATGCACTGCCACTTAGCAGATATAAATTTACCTGAATAAATCCGAATTCCGGGATGGAATTTATCTGGATTTGCAGTAGATTTAAATTAGTTGGAAGTCAGCTTCTATGCAAATTGTCTTATTTTTCAAACATTTACCTGGTACAAAATTGTTAATGAAAGAAATAAGCAATAATAAAGATAAAACCTATGACAGACATATACAAAACAAACAACAAATGTGGGATGAATCATTGAGGATTGAAAAGAGAGGGGGAATGCGCTAACAGCAAAGGAACAATGAAGCACCAGAATTGGGAATGCAAAAAACGTAATAAACTGCACAAGACTAGATGGCCCGGCTGACAATCATAGTGGCGTTTCCTCTCATGAGGCACACTGAGAGGCTCTGGAGAAGGCGAATTGGGGCAACACGAGCGTTACGTGAACCAGAACGTCTGGCATCAGCGAGGATAGCAACTGACTTGAGGGTTTTGATAGCTAAAGCGGACCAACCCCCGAGCGTTTCGACTGCTAACGGGAAAAAACTGATTCCTTGTTCCTCACAGTTTTTCTCGTGTTTCGAAAATTTGCGGTCCTCAGCAACTTCCAGGGACGCCCCGGGGGTCTCCGCCGCACGAGAGAGAAGAGATAACTGCAGCGGGGATGTCACGGTGACGTCGAAAGCAGCTGGGCGACCAGCGCTCCAAGTAGGGATAAAAATATCGCCGGGTTTGGACCGTTCTCCAGGGATGAGGTTCCGTTGCTCCTTGATGGGGGCTAAAGAGGCAGCCGAGGTAGCATTGAAAATAATGTCCCGTAGTCTGTCGTGACGGGAGATCCGGCCACCACTCCCCCTACAAGCGACAGCGTGGTCCCCGAGGACGTCCAGAATGCCAGACGGACACGCGGGGCACCTACGAGCAGACGCGAACACAGGAAGACCAAGGCGGTATCTGACAGCAGCTTGGAACTCAGCAGGTAGCAGGTGCAGGCCAAGACCTTTAATGGGGACTGCGGTAAGCCAAGCGCCGGCGTAAGGCAGAGAGAGCGACTGAAGACGAGCTTGCTCGCGGGAATCGTGAAGAGACGAGAAGAACGCGTTGTGGGTGGCCTTAATTTATCTCAAATATGGATAAGAGCCAACCAACATTCCACTCACATGTGGTCAATCTTTCGACCTTACCCACGCCCTTCACTGTGCAAAGGGTGGATACACCCACATGATGCATAACGAAATCAGAGATACCTTTGCCAACCTCATGAGCGAGGTTTGCTTTGATGTTGAAATCGAGCCGAAACTTCAGTCGTTGCAAGGCGATAGCTTTGTCAACAATTCAACCACAACTGATGAAGACGTTCGACTAGATGTAAAAGCAAACGGATTATGAAAACACATTCAATTACTGAAAAAATTAACAATGATGACAGATAAACAAATAATGTTTGATACATGAAAAAATTTTTAAAATCCAAAATATATAATTACCGGATACACAACAAACACCGAATACAAAACAAACAACAAATGTGGGATGAACCATTGAGGATTGAAAAGAGAGGGGGAATGCACTAACAGCAAAGGAGCTAGGAGCACCAGAATTGGGAAGGCAAAAACTTAATAAACTGCACAAGACTAGATGGCCCGACTGACAATCATAGTGGCGTTTCCTCTCATGAGGCACACTGAGAGGCTCTGGAGAAGGCGAACTGGGGCAACACGAGCGTCACGTGAACCAGAACGTCTGGCATCAGCGAGGATAGCAACTGACTTGAGGGTTTTGATAGCTAAAGCGGACCAACCCCCGAGCGTTTCGACTGCTAACGGGAAAAAACTGATTCCTTGTTCCTCACAGTTTTTCTCGTGTTTCGAAACGGATTATGGGGCTCAAGATTTAGCCGAACCTTCTTTGATGTCAAAGTCTTCAACCCGCACGCAAAAACTTCACGAAGACTACTGAAAGAAGCCTATAAGTACCACGAATCACTAAAAACTCAAAATACCATCAGAGAGTTCTACAAGTCGAACAGAGCAGCTTCTGCCCGTTCATTTTTGGCTGCACTGGTGGTGCCGCACCAGCAGCTACTCGGAAAATGCAGCGCATAGTAGTGAAAAAAGGCATGAAAGCTACTCAGAAACAATAAACTATATAAGAACTAAGATAAGCTTCGCGCTGCTCAGGAGCGCTATCCTTTGTATACGGGGGTGCAGATCACTGCGTGAGACGCAATTCAAAGACAACTCAATTAGTGCAGTTGCAGAGGAGGGGCGGTTGAAGAAAATACTTTTAATTACAATGCATTGAATGCTGACTTGACTAAATTCCCGCAATATTGTTTATTGATGTATTTATATAATGCTGGTATGGGCCCTATCCAACTTGTGCACGACCGTACCTGACTCTTTAAAAATACGAAACAAATATACGCTATGCAAATCAAACGTATATTGAACATTACTACCATCTTGAATTTCTCTTCTAAATCCTTTAAATGATCCTCGTCGACTGCCCCAGACCCGGTCAAATTTTGTCTCCATGTTTCCGGAACTTTTGACATGATCTGAAAAAAGCTGGAAAACGATAATCAGAAGCAAAACTTTTTAACACATTCTTTCTTGATATTATAGCTACGTCAAAAATTATGCGAAAAGCACTGATTTGAAACTCCTTAAACTTTAGTATTCAAGCAAAACAAATACTATTACACAGAGATAAAAAGAAGTGTGCCAGTCGTCCATTTTCGAAGACAATTTCTTGTCAGAACATTGGTTCACATTTGGGAGCCAACACGGCAGAAAAATTTAAAATTTCTCAAATTCCACGCTAACGTCGCAAGAACGACTAGAGGTCAAGGAAAAGTTCATCTACAGCTATTCGTTATTGAGAACAAAAAGAATGAGAAATTTGGAGTTGTTTTTTTGCAAGACTAGATGCTACCCTTTCAGATGTCTGACAAACTCCTCTAACATTCGCCCGGAAGTACATACCGACGGAAAGAAAAGCTAGGTTATGTAACATTCGCCCGGAAGTACATATCGACGGAAAATAAAGCTAACCTATAAAACGACTGGCCAGCGTCTAAACTAAACTCTACATGCTTTTCACCGTCTCTACCAAAGCCAGTTCTTTTGGTGGTCTTTCTAACATCGGGTCGACAAAAACGTTACTGTTCTCCGGCTTCGACCAAAACGCTCAAATTAACTTGTTTACATGCAAAATTAGTGAGCTCATGGCTGGGTCTCAGTATCCCCAGACCACGAGGTCACTCCTAAAAACAGGGCAACTACTACTTACTATATTACTATTGTTTTTGTTCAGTAGATAAAAATCATCATCTCCATTGAAGATGGATCAACCCTTTCCCCCAACTCCTAGCTTCTCATCGTCGTAAAATGAATTCAGATGTTAAATCAATTCAATTCAAGACATAACCGGGAAGCTAAAAGTTTATATAAAACAGTTTCAGTTCAAATCCCGAGACCCCTCCGGATTCCTGAATCCGGGGAAATAACAACCTTATCTTCCTTCCGGAAGGCTGCTTTTCCACCCTTCGCCGTTGTTGTGAACGGCCTTGCAACGATTGTAGCGACACAATCGTTGCAACTCGAAACGGTCTCTGCTAACTCTGCTATTCGTTGTTGTTTTTCTATCGCAATTCTCGTAGTTATCACTATCGCAACTATTGTTGTTCTGATTTTCTTCTGGTTTTCTTCCAAAAAATGGCGGTTTTTGCCGTTTCTCAGAAGTGCGACTTCTCAGTTCGACTTTTTAAAATTTCAAAATACCAGAATATCATGGCCTTCACCGTTTGACTAATCGTCCCAATAACACTGTTAATCCTTCAAAACTGTTAATTAGGAAGGTTAGCTGCTAATAATTCGAAATTGCTGAATCTGCATTTTTCGTACATTCTGGTCGAATGTCACATACTGTAACATTCGCCCGGAAGATACATATCGACGGAAAATAAAGCTAGGTTCTAAGACGACTGGCCAACGTCTAAACAGAGCTCTACGTGCTTTTCACCGTCTCTACCAAGCCAGCTCTTTTGGTGGTCTTTTCAACATCGGGTCGACAAAAATGTTACTGTTCTCCGGCTTCGACCAGAACGCTCAAATTAACTTAATTACATGCACAAATAGTGAGCTCATGGCTGGGTCTCAGTATCCCCAGACCACGAGGTCACTCCTAAAATCAGGGCTACTACTATTTATTGAATTATTATTGTTTTTGCTCAGTAGATAAAAATCATCATCTCCATCGCAGATGGATCAACCCTTCCCCCCAACTCCTAGCTTCTCATCCTCGTAAAATGAATTCAGATGTTAATTAAATTTAACTCAGGACATAATAAATAAGCTAAAAATTTACTTAAAACAGTTTCAGTCCAAATCCCAAGACCCCTCCGGATTCTCGAATCCGGGGAAATAAGACTTCTATTTTCCTTCCGGAAGGCTGTCTTTCACCCTTCACCGTTGTTCGCAACGGCCTTGCAACTATTGTAGCGGCACAATAGTTGCAACTCGGAGCGGTCTCTGCTATTCCTGCTTTTTTCTGATTCCGATTCTCTATTTTTTCGTTGTTGTCCTCGTCGCAACTATCGTTGTTGTTGTCTATTTCGGTTTTTCTCTAAAATGGCTACTTTTGACGTTTCTTAGAATTATTACGTCATCAATTCGAAATTTTAAAATTTAGGAAATTCCGAATCCTTCAGCCTTCACAATTTGTCCAATCGTTCGAATAACGCTCTTATTTCTTTAAAACAGCCAATTCGGAAGGTTCGCTGCTAAAAACTCGAAATTGCTGCATCTGCAACTTTGTCCATTCTGGTCGAATGTCACATACTCCCCGGACAGCCCGGTCAATGTCTTGCATTATTCATAAAATTGGCACAGTGTCATCGAACAGAATTTACAAAATGCACGAAATTACTTCTATCTACGTCATATCGACTCACTGCAGAATATAAATGGCATCATACCACATCGCTATAGCCTTTTAAATTTTTTCACTAATCTGCACTTTGAGGATATGACCTAAGATAAAACATTTTTTCTGACTTCCAACGTCATTGCCTTGATTTAAAACTTTTTCTCCTAGGTTTTCAAAAGGTGTTAGTTTTTCCAGGACAGTCCTGCCAACCAACAAGCTAAAATTATCCTACTATGCTTCTTCCCTTCGCAAATTTTAGGTGTTATTGGTCCTGAATATTAAAATTAAGGAACTCTGTGGTTAGAAAGAACAATGAAAAAATCTCCCTCTTCAAGAGATTACCCAAGCCTTCCATGTCACCACAAAGTGATCAGTTCTCCTAGCTGATTAAAAACAGTCATGCATGCTGGAATATTTAAATATATTCTTTACTCAAGCCTTTCTAAATAGATAGTAAGTGTCTCTAAAGCCACTAACTAAAATCAAAATGCAATTTTTTAAATGCAACAAATTCTTTAATGTTCAAAACTCAACTAAATGTTACAGTTTTCAATTACAAATTGGTTGCTCAGTTCTTCACTTGAGTTTTCTCACACACATAAAACAATTCTGAGTTTTAACTTCTTCCTCTTCGTCACTCCTTTGTTTCTTTTCTTTTCATTGTTTAGAAGTTCTAAAACTTCTAAATTCTTCTAAATTTTTTTTCTCTTTGCATCTTTTTCTTTCGACCATTTGTCAATGTTCCATGTCTTCCTCCTGTGATACTGACTCTGCACCTTCAGTTTCTGTGTCTTGCAACACATCGTTAGCTATTCTGACGCTGTTGGAAGCAGTCCTCCAACACTTCTGCTCTTCTACCCTCTGTTTACAACAAGGTAGGGGATCCACGTTAGATTCTCTGTTCCTGCAGAAGCGGTTGTGGAGACACAACGTCACGTTTCTCTCCTAATCTTCCTTCAACATCTCTTCCTTCTCTTTCCACTACGTTCACTTGTCCTGGAAATTCATTTTACAGCGGTGGTCACTGCATTTCGATGAGTCACGAAAGCTCGCTTGAAAGCTCCTGCTCCAATGTCCAGCTGATATCCACTGTACACTCTGCCGTGCTTCGACATATGCTTTTTGGCATATTCGTACAACCATGCAGTCATGTTAGCTCTGAACCATGGCATCAGTCGTCTCCTTGTCCATATCTTTTTCACTTCCATCGGAATGTTCAGAATCTTGCACGTTGTCTTAAAAAGATCTAAATCTTTTAAACAATCCAATTTCTGCAATTGTTCTCGCGTTGGTGCCTCCTGTCTATTGTTCTCCTTCACATGAGCTTTCAGCCAACGTATCGCCATCATAACTCCCACTATCCCTGTTGTTATGGGCCGTGATGAGTCTGGTAAACCCATGGAGAGCAGCTCTCCAGATTCCCAGATCAACACCAGATTACTACGCTCGGGATACCACCAGGCCTGCAGCAAGCAGTGGCAGGGAAACTCGTCATGTGTCAACATGATGCTCCTCCAATTACGTTTTCCCGAAGCTTCCAGTAATGGTTCCACTTCCATCATCACTCGGTGGACTTCATCATTCTCGTCTACTGTATTGTAATCTGTAACGGTTGATCCTCTCTGTTTCTGTCTTTCAAATTCACTAAAGTTCCCACTCACGTATCCCATGAACTTCCTTCGCAATATCGATTCCAACTCTTCCTTTGTTCTCTCTGGAACTGCTGAGAAGATCTTACATAGCAACTCGTAAGATTTTTCGGACATTCTCGTTAGTCTCACACACTTTGGCACTGAGAAGACTTGATCCACGATCGTTCTCGTACTCTTTACATCCACAGCTACGAAAGCACCGGGTATCTGCTCTTGCACATGTCGATCCCTGCTTCTGATGGTCTACAATAAGTCTCACTATGTCTGATGTTCATTTCCGCCTCGGTCGCTTCCTTCCATTTTCCTATGTGCTTCTGTTCAGTTTGCAAAACTCCTGGGAACACTTCTACACTGATGGCTGAGACCATCTCATGTATCTGTTCTAGATTCAATAGTGACTCTAAAGAACCAAACATGCTGTAGAATCCTAGCGCAGTCACTAGATTCACCTCGGTTCCTCCATGACAATCTGCGATCAGTTCCGTTTCCGTCCTTGCCTTCATCGCGACATTCCCAAACAATATCGTCCATTGCTTGTGTTGTCTCTCAAGGGTTTTCACACAATCCAGACCTCCACAAACTTGACCTTCCAGTCCACAGACTTCCGCCAGACAGCTACCAGGTTTGACCCAGTCTTCTGGTCCCCAGCCAGGCAACTCCACTTTGTCTTCCCCGTTGCCCCTAGAGGCTGTTATCATCACATTATATATGATGTTAAGGTCACGCAGGTTACAGTCTGCATTCAGCTCCCCCTGCACATCTTGTGTCGCCCGTAATATGGAGTCAGCATTAGGACTAGGACACCATGATGGTCTCATCAGTTCCCACACTACCATCACGCCCGTTCTCAGTAGTTCATCTGAGAATCCCAACCCAAACTCCACTCTTTTGTCGGATTTTGGTACGGAAGATGCAGTCACCTCTTCTTCCAAGACCAGTCCCAATTTGGTCTGCGGATTATTAGGGCTCTTGATCG